CAGTTTAAAGATAAAGATAAAGATAAAAATAACTCAGCCACCACTTATTCTTTCTAACAGTGCTATTTCGGTTTGGATAGAGCCAGACTCTTCCACGAGAGAGTTATCTAAAATAGAAGCACAGGTAAGCCTTCGGCCAATCTGGTTAAATTTGGCTTTTAATGCATTCCCGGCAAAGAGGAGGAAATCGATCTCATGATACTTTTGGTTGAAACAGTATAACACTCGACCGTTTTGCCTGCAAAATAAATTTGCGCTCAATATCGGGAATTTCAAAAGAACAGAATAACTTTTATTAAATAACTTGTCACAAAAATTTTGAAAATAAAAAGCTTGTGAAAATAATCATTAGAAGGAGTTTATCATATCATACGAAATACTTTCTCATAAACATATTTTTTTTGCCTATTTATCAAACTTAATGGAACTATCTAATCGGATGATAGCATAAATGATTTTTTCAGAAAATTCGATAATTTAAAGGGACAATTTTTTAACTTTTCAGTCATTTTTGTTCAATCTATCGAAGTGGAAATCGCATTATATTGACATCGAAATTCTGACGAAAATGATGAGTAATTTGAAAAAGGCAAACAAAATAATTGCAAAAAAAATGGCTGAGTAATCTGCAAAAATAAATCGACAGATGGTGTGGTTGTTAAAGGTCTAGGAGAAAAAATATTTAAGTACAAAAATCTAAAAATACAAAAAAAAAAAAAACTACAAAACTACAAACTACAAAAAAAAATTTTATTAATATATTATTTTTATGTTTTATAATGATATAAGATTTGGGAAACTGTGAAGCAGTAGATTATGCCAAATAAAAAAATTTTTTAGCTTCAACGAGGCTTATGTTTATAAATTATTAAGAAATATTCTGTAGAAGATAATAGATTACTAGATAATTACAGTTTTAAAAATTTTATAAATATTAAAAGTTATACAATATGAAAGTACAAAATATGTAAGATAACGGTAAGGTAAGAACCAATTATTACTGATAATAATTTCATACAGGGAGATGGTCGAATAAGGAGATGCTACTTCGACTAAGTACAAGCCCTTACAAATTCGGTTCCTCTTGCTTGGTGGGAATAAGCAGAAATGATTAGAAGTGCGGCTGGTGTTGAGAACTTATTTTTATTATTATTTATTTATTTATTGAAAACCAACCAAGCAGGACGCAAACGACATGTGCTTGCATTAATAACAACAGTTAAAATAACAAATAATAATAATTAATGACAAAAAACAAAAAAATAATAATATTAAAATAAAATAAACAATTTAAAAATGAAATAAAGAGGATATTGCAGAATAATATCATATAGTACAATTCGAAATGATATTATCTATTCTTTTTAAATGACTGCCTAGCGAAGGAGTCACTCATTTTAAAAGCTAATGAAGCCAATCAGGAAAAAATTAATAATGTATTTATGCAAAAAGTATTGCATACTGAAAAGAATAAACAAGGTGCAGCCGAATCGAATTGTTTATAAATAAAAATTTAAAAAATTCAATTTTTTTTATTTCATCAATCTTTTCCTTTTTCTTAAATCGCCTCAACTAGTATGTTTCAAGTCGATTTCACGAAAAACTACATTCATATTCACACCGCTTTTTATTCCTAATGTTTATCGGCTAATTTGCTTGCCTTACGAAAATGCGCTTAAAAAATTTAGAGCGTGTTTTCAATAGCTTTTTTCTTTTTATAGGAATACATTTATATTTACCTATTTCTTTGAAAAAATAAATTCCTTCCCTATTTATCTCCTTATTAAACTTATATTTTTTGCGCGATCGCAGTAATGGGGAATGGAGAATAGAAATGAGGGAATGTAAACAGTGGAAAGGAGGTTATAAACGATAGTGATCTTCGAGATTTTGCGAAATTTTAATATAAAAGCTTTTGCTACAACCAATGTGTCAAAAAAATTGAATATATTTTTATATTTGCAATAAAATACACTTTCGCATTCTAATTTTCTGAAGTGATAGCAATATATATATATATATATATATATATACATTTATAAAAAAATAAGATATATAATTTATAAAAAAATTTTTTTTTAAACAGTCCTCAACATTACTGGTTAAACCCGCTCTATCGGCTTGTCGCATTGGGCAGTATGCCAGGGATTCCCTTTGCGATAGAAGTACAAATGAATCGCAAGCATCCTCCTGATTTTTGGACAGGTTCATTCTTGCGGGAAATAGAACCTCCGAATTGGCGCTCCCAATTGAGCAACAACTCACTGAGCCATTCTATCATTCTATCTCCTAAATATAAAGCATTTATAAAAATATAAAAATATGTAAAAATTAATCGCTATATAATTATATGGGCTAAATTATATAGTAAAATCATCGTTATTTGCGGGCAAAATTGAATGTCAATAAATTTTTGGAATCATTTTTATCAAAACTATTGGTATTATTTGAAGTATTCCTCAATTTTGTTTCGTTGCCTCCATTTTACTGACCATTTATTCATGAATTTCAATTTATTTTGATTAAATTTTGCGTTCGTTTTTTTTTTTTTTAACATACTTATAATCTAAGTTGTGAGGAAATTTTGAAAAAACTTGATGATGCACTAAATTTATTTCGCCAAAGTCTTCTTGCGTTGAATAAATATTGGAATAACAAATAGAGCTGTGATTTAAGAAAGCTAATCCGCTAATGCTAACATTAGATGAAACCCCAGAAAAAATTCGGAGGTTACAAAATCCACCAAATAAAAAACTGAATTTAATAAATTTTAACTTTACATGAAGATTTTACCCGCATCTCTGATTGAGTATATTTTTTTTATATTGTTGCAAGAATTTTCATCAAATTATTTATATAAGAAGAAGCTAATTATATATTTATATATATTTATAAGAAAAACTCATGGCATTCTTAAAATCGTCATTAACAACAAATAAAAAGAATTTATGCTTTAAGCAAGGGCGATTTTCTCTTCTGATTGCACCAAAGAATCATTTATCACAGGATGTTCGATCTGCGAAGAATAATTGTAAAGACACCATTTTGTATTGGTGTAATGAAGATATTAGCATAAATTACTTATTTATGATGACTTCTTTCATGATTTCGATTTTTTCTTTTCTTGAATATGAATCAAAAAAGAGGAAAGAATAATAAGATTTTAGAGTAAAAGTAAAAACTTTTCTCAAACTTTTCTCTTGAAAAATTCGTAACATTTGATTAAATTATTATAAACCAAAAACATGAAAATTAATAGCACCATATGTTTTCCGAAATAATAAATATAAACAAATACACACACAAACACAATCATCTTAAAGTAGATAAGCTAAATCCTAATATGGATTCACATATGAATGCCAAGTAAATTCAATATCTGCAATGCATGCAATAAATTCTAAGCTGCAAAAAATAATATGGCACTGACACCAACGATATTTGCCATTAAGTACTATTACGATTTCATTAAGAATTTTATAAGTTATCGATATTTTCCTTTACTTCTTCAAGTAAGGATCACCTTTATCATATTAAGAAGCAAACGCTGAGTCCTCGCCCTCGAGAAAGAAGCAAAAATCTACCAGTGGATTAAAAAATGGCGATCCATTTAATAAAATCAAATTAAAACGTAGGCGATTAAACGGAGGAAATTAAAATAAGAAAAACAAGCTAAATTATCTGCACTTCAAGAAAACGATTCTCACACCGATTATAGAGACGGTATGATTTAATAGAAGTGGAAATATAACGCTTAAAGTTTCGCAGGATAACAATAGAAAAGAAAAGTCTCCACCTGTACAAACTTGAAAATGAATACTTATAAATAATTAGGCTAAATAAAAATTTTAGAAGTGTAATGAAACATACAACGCAACACAGATGGATTACATATTGTAGAAGTAGTAAGTATTTATTTATTACACGACCATGGATTCATCACTTTCAAAACTATCACTACGACACCTTTGTAAAGGTCGTTTATAATCGAAGGAAGGACGATTCTGTAAAGCATGGTTTCGATGTTCAATTCTTATTATGTTCGCTGGATTATTATGTCGTTTTTGCTCAACTTGATTTTGATTTTGATTTTTTTGAAGCAATCGAACATTTTCAACAGGAGTACTATTAGTTTGACAAACGCTTCGCGTATTATCAATTCGGAATCGTTGACATGATTCACTAATCTCATGAAGATTTTGGCAAAGATGATTGCCTTGGTGGTCTTCGAAAGAATATTGGGATAAATGCAAATGATCTGGCAAAAATTTGGTATTGCATTTCGTAGTGGTGATAGTTTGTGGAATTTCATCGTTAAACTCATCTGAAAATCGGCGACCATAAATATGGTTGCGATTTTGCAAAACTTTAATAGATAATTTCTCATTATCTTGAAGTGTCCGACGAGTTTTAACATTTGTTATTTGCTGTTGACGAATACTGAAGCTTTCGAATCGCTGTTGGTTTTCACACTGAGGATTATCAGTCGTCTCAAAATGACTATTCTCCATTAGTTGACGTTCGCAATCCGAATGGTTCTGATTTTGCATATTTTGAACATTTTCTGGTTGGACGGATGAAAGTTGATTACGCCGCAAACTTGGACATCCCTGAAAAATGAGCCTCTTTATCTATTAAATAATGATGGTAATCATCTTATACTTCATCATATAACAATCAGCATTTCTAATCAGCATTTTCGATTCCCGGCTGACGCAATACTTTTAATACCGAATCAATTGGTTCGAGCTGGGTTCGATATTGTACTGCTATAAAGACCGCTTCATCAGATAAGGAGACTAGAAACTGGGAATAGAAACACAAGTGCATCCCAGAATCACTCGATTTTGCCTTTAATGACAAATGCTCGAAATTTCTAAGGGATAAGAATCAAATCTACAGTGAACTGACCTTATTCAAAATAATTTATCACTCGACCATTCTATCCCAATAATAATACTAATTGTAAGGATAAAGCTAAAACCTATGTAAGGAAAATATTAAAGAACCTGTCCATCAAAGTCGAAAAAGTGGCGAAAAGTGAATTCATAAAATGCTGGATTTAAGGGAGAGGAAACATTTGCGCGTTTCGCTAATGTATCAAAAATTTCATCACTGGACTCGAATTCGAATGTGTCGAAGTTGGACGTATCTTCCGCATGTTGTACGCGAGGAATATATTCCGCACGTGTTGAACGTAAAGTTGTGAAGTCGATATTCTGAAGTTGATAACGAGAAAAATGGCAAAAAAAAAGAAAAGGTAAAGTTATTATTGATTTTAAAATGAAAAGAAAAATTTAAAATTTAAAAAATCTGGAGAATAATATAAAAAACTTTAAAGTACAATTACTTCAAACCAGCAATGCATCTTGATCTCGAGAGCTCCATCTTCACGTCCTAATCGATTTTCTTGTTCACAACAGAGTCTTTTTATCAAATTGATGCATTCTGGTGATAAATTCAACGATGCTCGATTATTTAAATCGAGAAACTGACGCCAGTTAACAATCTGATAAAAATTTTTATAAAAAAGAATTATATTCATTGATATTAATTGAATTTATGAAAGAAGTAAATTTCAAAGTTTTTCAGTTGGAACAAACCTTAAACTGAGTTTCATAACGATCTTCCGATAAAAATGGTGGTCGGCCAAACACCATTTCATAAAGAATAACACCAACTGACCACCAATCACAAAGTTGTGAATGACCTGAAATAAAATGAACAGTCAACGATAAACTGGAATTATATTTAATATTCACGTCCTAATCGATTTTCTTGTTCAAAGTCTTTTTTTCAAATTGAGTTTATTTAACGATAAGATTCTGTATAGAACCACTGACCAGTGCCGCGTATTACTTCTGGTGCCATGTAGTTATCGGTTCCAACTAATGAATGGGACTGATTTCTCTTTAAATAATTTCGAAGATCCAGAACTTTCAGTCTATCTTTACCGACTATCTTTTTTCGAGCATGTTCAAGCTGAAAGATGCCACTCTCTATTAAATGAACAATATTCATTTTTGAACAATATTCGAATAAACTTTTTTTTTATATTTTTCCGATATGTATATATATATATATATATATATATGTCCTCGCTTTCTCTTCCCCCTCTTCCATAGCTAACACTTTCTTTCGAAGAAAATATAATATCAGTTTTTTTATATTTTAAAAGTTCTCTGGTTTAACTCTCAGAATACATTCTCCAAATGAACTTAGATAAATCCTTGATTTACTGATTAAAAACCTGAAATTCGGTAACGTACTAAACGCTCAAAAAAATTTAATAAGAACCACTGGTTTGGCCGCCTAAATATTAACCATTATAAGTGAAAATAATTAATCTTAAAAATAGATTACAGAACCTGTGTTTATATTTGAATGGAAAGAAAATAATATTTATTACCTCAGCAGTAAAAGGATCATAAAAACGTTTATCATGAGTCCATCGTAGACCTGTGCATAGGCCAAAATCAGTCAACTTTATATGGCCATTTTGATCGATAAGTATATTATCCGGTTTAATATCGCGATGGATAAATCCTAGGCTATGAACATATTCTAACGCACAAATCAGCTCAGCAATGTAAAATCTGTAACAAAACGTTTAAAATTATTGGACCAGTTTGTGACTGAAATTGGTTCACGATATGGCTTCAATATTATAGATTATAGAATGTTTTTAAATCTTTTGATTTCGTAATAAGGCTAAAAATAGGTCGAAAATTTTATAACCTTTCTGATGCATCTTACATTGAATGATCATTACATAATTTTGGTGTTTTGCTCTTCAAATTACATATTTTAATGAAAGCACAGCTCGATTGGTGTCTATGGAAACAAACAAAAGAGGCAAAATAAGAATCCTTACTTGGCAAGTTTTTCATTAAAGATTTTTTTCATTATCAGCAACTGCATCATGTCTCCGCCAGGAACGTATTCCATAATGAAATATAAAGATTGTTCATCCTAAAGAAAGAAATAGAACAAGTCAGCAATAAGAAAACTTCGATATTTCAGAGTACATATTTACAGCAAAAGAGAGAGCCAAAAATAATTTATTTTTAATTCGGTTCTTTTTTTCGCAAATTTTTGCCAAGTAAACGGGAATTTGAAATCGAACAATAGACAGATAGATAAAAAAATTTTTTCCAAAAAAAGATAGAATTTGTAAGATTCAATAGGCGAATGAATGAATGAATTTAAATATCTTAATCTGCACCTAAAGCAACTTATGAAACCTCTTTTAATCTAAATGTTCCAGAGCTTGCCTTCTCTGAGAAGAGTAATCTAAAATTGCAAAGGAGTAGGAAGGTCGATTTTCTCACTATGGTCCATACGATTTAATTATTCCATGAAAAATAAAATTTCGGAAATGCTACGAATACAATCTGGATACATTAGAAGAATAATTCTGTATAAAGAAATAAGTAACAGTCACTTAATGGCTGCACTAACATGAAAAGAATGAGGATAAAATTAAACAAATATTACTTGGAACGAGAAGTATAGTTTTACTATCCACTGACTATTTGCTTCCGCTAAAATATCTCGTTCTGCTTTGACATGAGCGGCTTGTTGCTTTACAATAACATCTTTTTTAAGCAATGTTTTCATTGCATACACCTGACCCGTGTCCTTCTATAAAAAATCTTATCAATATCAAAAAGAAAGAAAATATATTAAGCAGATTTACTATTCTTATCTTGACCATGAACTTCATCATTGATGTCATAGGTCACCGAAGAGAACTGATAAAGAAACAAGATGAAAAGTATAATTCTTTACTTTTTTTACGAGTGATACGCGACCAAATGCACCAAATCCGATATGCTTGATTACTTCGAACATACTTTTATTCATTTTCTGTCGTTTAAGTCGTAAATAACGTGATTCTTTTTGAGCAAGAAAGATAAGCATTTGTTCACGCATTGCATCGGGCAATTTCGCACATTCCATTTCACGTTCGAGCTGAAAAGTTTTACCATCCTTAAAATTAGCAAATTTTAAAAAAAATCAAAATAATAATCAAAACAATAAATAATAAAATTCGAAATAATAAATAAAAAATTAAAATAAAAAATTTAATAATAAATAAATTTAATAATTTAATAATAAATAAATTAAAAAATAATAAAATCAAAATAAAGAATGGTTGTTGGCATACGAAAATGTATGAATGTATAGCCCCTTGAAGTACGTAAAAAAACTCAAATGGTTGAAAAAGAAGTGGCTTACTTATAGATATCGCATCCAACGGGCTTGGAAAAGTTTTATGCTTACAAGCAACTAATAATGGCCAAAAGATACATACTTGAAAGGCGCGTTGTGCTCGCTCTTTGTACTGTTGGATGAGCCTTTCTATGTGTTGCTCCATATAGAAACAAAACAGTCGCGGACGACAATGCTTAACAATAGGTTGATATGTCTGTTTACGAACACGTTCGGCGATACTTTCAGGCAGTGGCGATGAACAGCGATAAACACCATCTATATCTAATTTACTGAAAACTTCCAAGATATGAAATATAATATGAATTCAGTAAGTATTTGAATAGAAGTACCTTCATAAAGATAAGGTAAGAAAAGTTAAACATTGTTCTCAAAAAATAGATAAAATTGGAATGAATATTAAAGCAGTTTTCGCGAGAAATTAAGCAACAACTTGAAATACAGGAACTCACCCAGTTGAAACAGCAGTTGGAGAAGATGAGTTTGGTGTAAGATGAGCGCTAGAAGCACCAAAGTAATAATCATCTGACAAATCACTCCCATCGTTCACTCCGCTTCTCACCGAATCATGGTCTGATATTAGCAATTTATTGGTACGACGATAAAGCTGTAATTAAAAAAGTAAGTATAGAAAAATTCTGCTTTACGCCTCTAGCTGCATCGTTAAGGCCTATTATTTCGGCTAAAAAAAATGAATAATCTATTGATGCGTACCATATCAACGTAGCTGGACATATCAGGAAGCTTGTCTGGGTCAACAATAATACTCTTCACTCCCACCATGCCTGAAGGTTCGCCGTGGACGGTTGCTGTTTCACCCATATCACCAACTATATTTAAGCGATACCGATTTTGCCGTCGAGCATCTGCCGGCTACAATCATGATTCGCATGGAGGCTTTTTAAAAATTAAAATTTTAATATAAGATAAAAATAAGACAAATATAAATATAAATATAAGACAAATATAAATATAAGACAACTTTTTTTCAATATAAACATACCATTTTTTGCTTTAACATAATTTGATGCGAATATGTTAATTAATAGTGCGAAGCAAAAAAAAGTGGTTTGAAGTAAAAACACAAGAAAAGAAAACTTACAGAATTTACAACTGAATCAACTTTAATTTGCAGCATCGCATTCTGTGGCCTTTCAATATGAGTACGAATAACAGGTACACCTTCACTCCTTATACAGTTCTTACCATTTAAATTTAATCGTGTTGGTGCAGACATTGAGGATCTCAAACTTGGTTCTAGACAGTATGAAAAGTTACCACAAAATGTTTTAATCGCAATTGTCTTCTGGCATTGCTTTTTATCAAGTTACTTGGATTTATATAATCAGATTCAATAAAGATATTTTATAAATCATTAAGAATCAAAAAGTCATTTGTATGGATACGTGTTGATTTAAAAAAACGATTTCAGCTTTTAAGAAGTTCGTTTATCAAGAAACTTACTTGGTTTGGCGATCTACTGTGTCCGGCACATTTTTTTCTATATTAATAATTGTTAAGGAATTTTTCGTAGCAGCTGGCTGTTCGATTCTATTGTGCATACCAATCGCTGACGATGATGGTCCAACATAGTCACTAACATTTCTGTTTTGTTTCCCACTACTCCTTAAAATATCAATATTTTAGCGGTTATACGACACGCTTCTTAATGAGTTTTTGTAGTAAATGAAATGAGAAAACTATGACAAGGCATGTAAAAAAATGAATAAGCAAAGTAAATAAGAAAACAAATAACTGCCACTGTAACCAATGATTTTAAGCAAAAAAAATTTAAAAACTAATGTCGAGAATCATTCAGATTTTTTAAATTTACTGCTTGACTGAAGCCAGAAATTTCCATTAAAAACTTCGATTTTTAGATCGCAAACATTTTGAAAAAATTCAAAAAACAACATAACACTACAATAATCATAAGAAGCAAAGCAAAATAAAAGAATTCTAGTTTTCACAAAATAATAATTGTTTAAGATTAGATCCTCGCTGGACTGGCTTCTTTTCACAAATAGGTGTAAAAGTGGTTGGAGTTCACAATTTCTGATTGAATTTACTTCATTGTTGGAGAGAATGGAGAGAAATTTCTAGCAGGAAATTATAGAAACGATAAAAGTAAAGTGGGTGACTAGTACCAACGAGATGATTTATTAATTAAAGAGACGATGATTTGCAAAAAATATCAGAATAACCTGCCTATTTTCATTTCGCCACTCAGATTTAGGTATATAACTGTATAAAGGATCACTTACAATGTTAAATGTGCATGGGTTCTGTGGTAATCCTTATTGAACAGATGATACATTTTAGAAATCTCTCGTTTAGGACTTCTTGAACGCATTCTGAAAATAATTAGAATGAATAAAAATATCGAAATATTTATAATTTTAATATTTATAATTATTAAATATTATAATTATTAATTTAATTATTATAATATTAATATTTATTATTAATAATTATTATAATTATTAATTTTAATATTTGTAATTATTTATTTATTTTAATATTTATAATTTTTTTTAATTCATTTTTTTCTTAATCAACACAATACTAATACAAAAAGCCAATTTATACCCTTAATATTCACAGGAAATTTGCAACTGGCCAGAGGCACTGAAGAGCAATTTAATATAAAAACTATTAACTAACGGAAAAACAATTGGACTTGGAATCCTTGACAGTGGACTTGCTGATCTACTGCGACTGGAAATTTTCATTAATGGACTATCAGATCTGTTAGAATTGTGATCAATGATATTTGCACCCATTGGAACTGCCAGTTTTTGTACGAATTTATGAGCAGGAATCGAGTGAGTTGGCTGATTTACTTTGGACATAGGCATAATATTATTTATATTATTGTTAAAAATCTGCGATACAAAAGGCATTTGCATATTGTGAGCACCATTTGAAACCTTTTGTGCATCCTGAAATTTTTACAATAATTTTAGGAACAATTAATAATATAGTTAATAAATCTAGCAAATCTAATGATTTCATCTAATGATATTTACTCAATAAAATTGGCTCACTTGTTTGTATATGTGATCTTTTTTTATGTTTAATAAAACTTCAGCAGCTGCAGCAACACTTGAATACCGTACCAACTGTAAAGCAAGTATAGCAGCTTCCTGAAATGGTTTGAAAAAATTTGACAATTATAGCGGTCCTCTGAGAACCCCTTTAAACTCTTAAAAATTAGTAACAACCACATATAAAATTTCGTTTATATGGTTTTTATTTCGGTTACAGCACCACAGTAATGAAAACAGCTGTATTAATTTTGCAATTTTTCCAAAAAGAAAAAGAGAAATTGGAAAATAAAAATTTTTAAATATATTCGATTCTAGGAATAAAGCGAACTTTAAAATGGAAAATAAATAAAATATTAAAAAAAACCTTTTCAAAGCCTATTTGCGTTAAGGTATTTAACATAATTTGCCGACGCGTTTCATCTTCTTCATTTAAGTTATTAAAATTTGATGACAGTGGCTCTGCTTCTGTCGCGCTTGTCTGCTCAAAAGGCTTCAAAGAATCGCGAATAAGCTCAAGTTTATCTCGATGTCGAGAAGCAGTAACTCTTACATCCTGAATTTTTTATAAAAATAATCACTAGGGATATGGTCAACAAAAATAGTTTTATTGATAATTGAAACCATATCACAGAAAACAGTTTATTCTTTAAGAAACATTTTAAACATTTTATAGAATAAGAAATAAGTACTTGATTAACATCTTTAGTAATAGGTGCTGTAACTCCATGAGGACGAAGAGGAATACCAATATTTACAGTCGATGAGAACTGGTTATTACTTGTACTGGCGATAGATGGCCTGTGAGGCGGTAGCATTACAATGCTCATGAACTGCCTGGCTCATTTAATATTGGATAATATGAAAAAAAGAAAATCGAAATATTCTATGGATACTGAATAGAGTTCCAGTTTCCTTTTTTAAATGCTTCCATCAAGCTGCAATAGAATATAATCAGATAAACCATAGAGTGGTTCAGTGGGTTGCTATTCTTATTCCACTTGAAGCGCCAATATTAATGTTCTACTCCTGCCAGATGTAAATTGTCTTTCAGAAAATCATATGCATTTGAGTCACCTGTATTGTCTATTGTCAATCGAATCTCTGGCAAAATTTCTCTGACAAGCCAGCTTAATCAGAAATGATAAGAACTCTTGATAACTCTAAGAAAAGAAAGATTTTATCACAAAATAATCACAAACAACATTAGAATAAAAAGAATTTCGTTATCGAGATAAATCTAAACAATAGCAGTTTATAATGTTAATGATGGCAATTTATGGTGAAATTATAGACTTTTCGCTTAAAAAATAGGAGTGAACATTAAGAAATCGTATTTCAATAATTATGAAGGAGCAGAAAAAAAATCACAGTATAATATATTCTTCTAACAACACGCACTGTTTCTGACTTCAATGATTACTGAGTGATGGACAAGTTCGGTTTCTTCGTTCTGCGTCCAACATCTTAAAGGTGCCAAGCAGATGAGATAGCCAACCAGAAATGAGCCACTTTCTTTACTGATTACTAAGACAAGCCATCTTCCACATGAAGATTAGAATGCAATTCTATCTTATAAATATCCTATCCTCTATCCTATACAAATCCTCGTGCTTCTCGCTGATATTTAGCTAATTAAACTTGCTGCAAGAAATATTAAAAGCAAGGAAAACAAATGTTTCGAACCCGAGAATATTTATTTCTTATTTCTTAGAAATGATCATCGATAAGTTCAAATCGAGGAATTCGAATGTATTGCTTCAAATAAATAAAAAATAAAGAAGTTAATTTAAAAAATTGATTGAATTGATTAATTGAATTAAAATTAAATTTAAAAATCAATAAACCAAGCGAAAAATGAGAAAATTACACTAAATAAAAAAAACTTAAATTTTACACAAATCAGTATAAATCAAAGTACTGCTTAAAAAAAAACACTGTTGAAGGCTTCCTACTATTGAACCATTTCCTCTTGTTTATTAACATTTCGCTTTCTTGCAAAAAAGGAAAGACTTGGCAGAATAACCGAGTGGTTACTATCTCAAAGTGATGGGGCTTCGATTTACCTTTAGAAATAAACTTATCATTAAAAAATCCAATCTGCTATACTTTTATCACCGACTGACTCAAAATTTTCATAGTACTACCAGTGAGCGAGCCTAATCAGAAAGTCGAGCACCACAACAATATATGATAATACGGTATCAAATTCTTTACCCAATATTGTAAATCGTTTTATAAAATAAATAACTGAAATTCTAGTTGAATTATTTTTCAATTTAAATCATTTAGTCTTTTGATTTTTCAAATAATATAACAAATAATATTTACAATTTTTCGAAACAATATATATTCTTTTATTTAAACAAAAATCAAGCAAATAATATATATATATATATATGCGCTTAAATTTATACGATCACATACTAACAAAAACAATATGAGAAAAGTTATTGATAGCTGGGCAAGTATTAAGAAAAAGCATCAAAACACCAAATTATTTCGCCTCATAGGAAAACCTTCATTTTTTTTCGACCTAACCTTTAGCCCT